AAAGCAACTTAAATATCCATAAATCAGGAATGTTTAAATAAGTTGTATTAGAGCCACACAATGGAATACCATATAGCTATTAAAAAAACCTGGAAAGATGCAGAGCTGCTATATTAGGTGAAAAATACAATTATTTGAACATTTGAGCATGTATATACATACATATAATGTGTGTCCTTGTATATATGTAGTATGTAAACACTGTATTGTGTAACTGTAAATATATGTGTTTGTATTTACATATGTACTCACATATAAGGATGAAAAAATAGATCATTTTAGTTTAAAATTTTCCAACTTGAAAATATACCATTTTATTATATGAAATCAACCCCAAATCAATTAATAAATGGCAGAAAAGGAAGAGAGCTTTTATAATGAACTAGAGATAAATAAATAGCAATTATTGATGTTCTTGCAAGATTATAAGAGATTAAGTTATGGGAAAGTCTCATAACATTAAAAAAAGCCAACTTATGAATGCTTTTACAAGAAAACATTTTTAAACATTGCGATGTCTTGAAGAGTCAGTAGGCGTACTTGCCTATGATGGCACTAGCAACTGAAGCTTCATAACCTGGAATAAGGGTTTAACGGTGTAAGAGATCACAAAATTCCCTTTGTTCAGAATGCCTTTGGTTCACATTACAATTCACAGCATGATCAGAAGCATTTTATAAAAAGTGAATTCAAATGTGAGCATTCAGCTATTAGTAAAAATAAAGATAAGTCATTTTTCCTATGCATTGTTTTTTCCCTCTTGTACCAAAATAGGTGCATAATTTTATCTGAGTTTATTCTCCTCCTTGGTGATTATCTTTTAGACATAAGCTAAATGGATCTGACTATGCCAATTATATGGTCCACATAGGTCAAAAGGGACCATGTCACATTATTTGTATAATGGCTAGTAGCTGCAGATAAGCTTCTGTCTACTCCTTTTCCACTTTCCGTCACCACTAAATGTCGAGAAAGAGCAGGGAGTGGTGATATTCCCTTGTCTTGATTTTCTTACCTCTCATTCATTCCACTCTGCAATCTAACTTCTACTGTCTAACTCTGGCCTTCAAGGAAGGGGCAAGAACAGACACCAAGAGGCCAGAAGTAAGGCACTAGTTACTAAGTGATTAAGGTTACTGAGTAGGCAGGGAGGAACCAAAGGTTCTTTGTGATCTAGACAGGACATGAATAAGGGGCCTACGGCAAGTACCCAGCTCATCGTAGAATGCAAGAGTTTGAAGGCTTAAACTCATTTTGTTTTGATTTTTCTTTACTTCCAAAAAAAATTCCAAACTCCTACAGATAGGAACTGGAAACACAAGGAATCCAGGGCAGATGTTCCCTTCAGGACCAGTGGTGAGAGTGGCGATACTGGGAGGGTGGAGGGAGAATGAGGTGAAAAGGGGGAACCAATCGCAAGGATCTACATATAACCCCCTCCCTGGGGGACGAACAGCAGAAAAGTGGGTGAAGGGAGACTTCAGACAGTGTAAGATATGACAAAATAATAATTTATAAATTATCAAAGGTTCATGAGGGAGCGGGGAGCAGGGAGGGAGGGGAAAATGAGAAGCTGATGCCAGGGACTTAAGTGGAGAGCAAATGTTTTGAGAATGATGAGGGCAATGAATGTACAAATGTGCTTTACACAATTGATGAATGTATGGATTGTGATCAGAGTTGTATGAGCCCCCAATAAAAGGATTGGAAAAAAAATTCCAAACTCACTGCCATTGAGTCGAGTCTGACTTATCTGACCCATAAGCGAGGAGACCTGCCCCTGTGAGCTTCCCCATCAGTCTCTCATTTCCTTACTTAGGAAACCGTTAAGCAGCAAATAATCTAAAAGAAATAAAGCCTCCAAATCAAGAATAGGACTACAGAAAAAGAAATATGTTTTATAGTTTAAAGCCTTCAATGACATTTTTAAAGGGCCTTGGTGACTATGTGGATTAGATGTTGGGCTGTTAATTGCAAGGTCAATGGTTCAAACTCATCAGCTGCTCTATGGGAGAAAGATGAGGCTAACTGCTCTCAGAAAGATTTACAGTCTCAGAAACCTTATAGAGAATAACTCTGAGTTGGAATTGACTCAGAGGCAATGGGTATGTGTGTGGTGTAATGACAACTTTTGTCTGCTTTCTGAAAAAAGACTCCTCGTTTTCATTTTACTTGGTTCTACAAATTCAGTAGTCACCCCTGTCAAATTTCATGTGAGATGTTCCTCCTCTGTGAGCTAACCAAACAACCCACGTCCATCAAGTCCATTCCAACTGGAAGCAACCCTGCAGAGTTTCTGAGGCTATAAATCTCTGCAGGAGCAGACAGCCTCATCTTTCTCTCATGGAGCCACTGGTCAGTTTGAACCACCAACCTTGTGGTTAGCAGCCCAAAGCTTGCCTGACAGAACCGCTAGAGCTCTTCTAGGAATTAACACTATTTGCTTATTTGCCACTTTTGACTCTACTTTTTTACTGATGATTTTTGTAGTTATCCACTAATCCACCATTTCTTTGAACTCTCACAGAAGTTGAGTTGTTGGCTAGAATTCCTCTCCCTACTGAAGTTAACTGAAGTTGGGATCAGGCTGTACACTACAAAAATAAGAGAGCTCTCCTTTTAGGTGACTTGGTATTTGTTGGAAGTCTCTACTACAAATTATAATTCAGAAAGATCCAATATAATGTTCATTAGCTTCTCGAGACTTTAAGTTCTGGAAAAGGGGTTCCTGGGACGAGTCTCAGAACACTGAATTCATGAAAGGGGAAAAAGGGAGGGGGGAGCAAATCAGAATAGGGACATAGATGGCAGTAGACTACTCTCCCTCCTGTTCAAAGTTCCTCTGTGACTGTCTTTATTAGATACAGAGCTATCCCGGTTCTTCATTTTTAAAATGAGTTTTTGTAGCTTGTCTTTCAAGGGATTGTTCTATTTCATCTAACCTTTAATTTGTTGGTTAGTTTTGTTCGGGGCCATCGGGTCAGTTCAGACTCACAGCGACCCTCTGTGCAGCAGAACGAAACGTGGCCCAGTCCTGCACCACCTTCACCATTGTTCTTAGGTTTGCGTCTACTGTGGCAGCCACTATGTCAATCCACCTAGCTGAGGGGCTTCCTCCTTTTAGCTCCTCCTCCACTTTACTAACACGATGTCCGTTTCCGGGGACTGGTCTCTCCCGATAACATGTTCAAAGTACATGAGACAAAGTCTCGCCATCTTTGCTTAGAAGGAATATTCTGGTTGTACTTCCTCCACGACAGATTATATTACTCTTTTAGCAACCCACGGTATCGTATCTTCAATATTCTCCACCAGCACCACAAATCAAGTGCATTGATTCTTCTTAAGTTTTTCTTATTGAATGATGTTTCAGGGTTATTCATATTATTCTTGATATCATCTCTTTTCTTCTTGGTTGGTAATGTGACTCTTAGGAGCATTTGTCCATAAGTTTTATGTATTTTATTAATCTAATTTGTGATTATTTTAATTGCCAAGCCAAATGGTCTCTTGTGAGTGCCCAAATGGCTTGACCCAACTGCCCGTTTTCTTTCTCTTAGTCATTCAGAGTTCCACTGCATCTTTCAAAATTCCGTGTTACACTTTATGATTGCTTCCTACACTAGTCAATGTTCTACATTCCCATGATCTCCTTGCTCACATACAAATCAACAACGAAGAAATACTTATCAATAACCCAACGTCTCTCTGGACCTGTATTTCCAACTTTCTACTGAAAATCTAAACCTGTATTTCTGTCTTCTGTGAGGAAAGTGCCATTCTCTCTAAGGGTGAAATCTCAAGATAACTTTCATTCATTTTCATCCAACCTTTATATTCTCCATCAAACAAAAGCACTTATTTTATTTTCCTTTGGAGTCTCATATGTGTTGCAGACAGATACCAGCTGGTGCTACAGGTATATGAGGCTGCTTCCCTGGGCATCCATCCTGGATCACTTACCTGACCACATTTGAGGCTGACTCTCCCTGGAAATCCAACTGGGTCTACTGACATGGGGACCTACAAGGGCTTAGGGTAGTCATATTTCCTACATGGTCCTTTTTCTCTGTAGCAAGTGTCCCAAGAGAACCAGGCAGATGATGCAGTTCTCTCACACCTCAGCTCAGAAATCACAGAGCATCCTTCCTGTATGCTGTACTGAGTGAAGCAGCCCCAAATCTGCTCGGATTCCATGCGAGGGGACGCAGACTCCCTCATGACAAATGGAGGAGCAAGGCCACAGTGGAGGAGAGTTGGTGGATGGAGACAGTGATGAAGTCTCCGTGGACCTTCTCATCTCCATGTCCACACTGAGGATGCTGGATTTCGGCATGTATGTGTGGCATTTATGGTAAAGGTTTCAATTGGAAAACCCCTCTTTGCAGTCCTCCTTCATAACGTGTCAGGGAAAAAAATGGGTACCTTGTACTAGAAAACTAAATAAACAAAGTCATTTTTAAAGTTTACTTTATGTGAAACAGTCATTTTACTGAGCGTGTAAACAAGAATGCTGTGCTTTCGGACAACCATACATAGTGCTTTCAGATGAAATGGGGAACTTTGCCAGTCACCTGGACTCAGATGCATATCTTCTGATATCTTGTCCTGAAAATGATATAATTAAGGGGGACTGGGAACCTATTTACGGTGCTTTTGTGGCTTACTCATGACATGTTGGGTTGCCAACCACCAGGTCAGCAGCTGGACATCACTGATTGCTCCGTGTGAGAGAGACGAGGCTTTCTACTCTCGTAAGGAGTTACCGTCTGAGAGGCCACAGGGATAGTTCTAGCCTGTCTTATAGGGGCAGTACTGACTGATGGCAGCGAGTTTGGTTTGGGCTTTTGGTGGACATCTTCAAGTGAAACAAAGCTACAAGAACTGTACAACAATCGAATCCACAGTTTAAATAGCTATAGCAGGAATTGGCAATTTATACTTCTGAACGTTACTGTCATGGTAATGTTTAAGTAACAACAGCCGCACTCCGACCTTACCTAGCTTCACGAATGTGCAGCTGAGGGTAATGGCTGTGCCTGTGGCATATGTGCACACCAAAGTCCTCCTCAAACGTCAGGCACGGGACATTCCCCACTTGGTCAAAAACAGTTATCAGAGTTGAGCCTAAATCACAGAGATCAAGAAAAAATAGCCTAATTTTAGCAAACGATAACTTCAGGGCTTCATATCAAAATACAACTTCCATTTAGCATTGCATTTAATTGTTAAAATCAAACAAGCACATAATGCATTAATACCATTCTTATGTCCTAATCCCAAAAGTCCAGTTTAACTGTATTAACTGTGAGATCGTTAAGCAGCCTCACCTAAGCTCATGTAGGATGGCACTATGAGGAATATGAAGTGGAGCTCCGGCACTGCCTTAAACACGGACCTGGTCAGGGAAAAACAGCAGACAAGTATTCATAACAAACTGTTCATCGTAGCAGGCATCTTACTGAAATGAACGATGTTCTCAAAAAGTAAGGTACCCCTAACAAACACGGGCTCCTTGCTCCTTTAACCACAAAGGCAAGACCGTCTTGAAGGCAATTTCTTGAATTCCAAACATCCCCTTTTCTGTCTTTCCCATGGTGGCAGAGAATAAAGGGTGCCATGTTCAGTTAGCACACCAGAGTTCTGCTAATAGTTAACCTTTGACCTGGCATCTGGATGGTCTGGTGTGAAAGCAGAGGTCACTGCCCCAAGTCTCTATGCAGGCTGTTCAAGGAATATTGCCATCGCTTGGTAGTCCTACAGATCATGTTTCAACAAATCACATTATTCCAGATGCTTCTGCAGTGTCAATAAACTTTTATAGTAATAATTGAGAAAAGTAATTTTTAGAAATAGCCACAGTTGTGGCTATTTTAATTCCTTAAAAAACAAAACAACAACAAAAAACCTAACTGGACGGTTGATCTATTTACCTTAAGTGACAGCCAGTTAAAGGTATGGACTGAACAGATTCAGATTCAAAGAGACAGATTGCCTTCTTTCAGAACTGTCATGTGATTCAAAATGAATGTTTTCAGATGGCCAGGAATTATAAACAAATTACATATCTCAGAGAATTACATATAACTTAAAAAAATTTTTTCAAACAAGCTCATACTGTCTCTTTGGCCTCAGTTGACCTTACTGGGACGTCCCATAGACCCTACCATGTGCAAGGTCCATCACTCACCGGATAACCTCTTTGCAGCAACCAATGGAGTATTCATCTACAGCCACAAAAAGATGCATGAACAGTGTGTTCAGAGGCTGCAGAGAAGAAGACACAGTGTAAAGGCTGAATTGGTTTTGTTCTGGGTCAGACCAACATGGTAGAGGGTTAGAGTAACCATAAAAGATAGCTGCCAGGTTTGGGTGGCTGATAGTTTATGTTCACGTCCCGAGATGCTCAGACAGCATCTGAGCATTCCCACTGACCGCTGCCTTCCTGCCCTCTAGCTAAGGGATGGCAACATATGTACAAATATGCATGATACAACTGATGTATGGATTGTATAAGAGCTGAAAGAGCCCCCAATAAAATGATCTCTTAAAAAGAAAAAAGAAATATTCAAGGAAACACGGTCATGAGCGTGAGCACTGGTCCTTGTCCTGGTTCACCCCAGCTAAGCTCAAGGAGGGGCCTACGGGCAGTGAGGTCCTGGTTCCGTCCTCAGGGGCAGCTCGGCCAGTAAAAGACCAACACCCCTCCTCCAGGCCCTCCAGTCTACAAGGAAGCGCTATACAAGGAATGAGATAAAAAGACTCTCTTTGGGATCTGAGGGGTGGAAGGCAAGTGTCACATTAGGAATACAATGGTTTGCCTGGTTCACCCTTCTGAGAGTCAGAATCAAACATTATCCTTGGTATCCTAAAAACCTGGAAACTGAAAACTCAAAGTACACAACTTTCAAGTGGAATCTTTTCAGCTTTTAGACAACTCGGTCCCATAACTTCTTTAGATTTTTTGAGTGTTTTCAATAATACAAAATTGTTCTATATAGTACTCCAAATATTGGTCCGTTCAACTCAGTAACTCTGTGCTTTGGTGCAAAATTTCAAATTGTAGAAACAGCCTGAATGTGAAGTACTTAGGTGGTTAGAATGAGGTCATTCAGTACCCAGGCCAGGATAAGAGTGCACCCAGGGGTTCTTGTTTTCAGGGCAACAATCTCGGTGACTCTAGGCATAGTAACCTCACAGCCCTATGATTTAGCCTCCACTCGTGTGCTGGGAGTGCTTTTAGAAGGAGCTGTTTCTATTGCTGTTAGTTGTCATCAAGTAGAGTTGAACTTACAGCGACCACCACAGATTTTCACCATTTTAAAAATCACGAGTTTCATTTGTGAGTCTAAAAACTCCCAAAAGGCAAATAGCGCGTTGACAATTTTGAAAAATGTAAAATCATGACTGTCAGCAATTTACTCATCTTGTCAGTCAGAAAGGTGCATGGGAGGAACACCTTACTGGTAATTTAATAAAGGAATGTTAGAAAGAGATGCTGTTTAGATACAAAACCACTGGAAAGCCTGCCGTGCCTTACAGCAATCACTTCTACAGTGGTCTCTTCTACCAGACAGAAATCATGCAGACTTATCTGAACTAGATTAAAAAACCTACAACTTCACTACTCCTAAAGAGTTATGAAATAGCACAGTCACTTAAAAGCCAGTCAGAGGACAAGCACTGGACTGAAAGAAGACCTAGGCATCGTTTTTTAAATCTTTTCATCTTTTTTTCTAAAGTATTATTTTTTAATCATTTTTATGGAGCTCTTACAAATATTATAATAAGCCATAATTCAATTAGATCAAGTATAATTGTACAACTAATGCCGCCACCATTTCCTTTCTTTTCTTTTCGCCCCCCCTATTTCCAAGTTTGAGAGAATTTTCTGACCATGATACCTAATGTATGGGGTAGGGAGGAAAAAGATACCACAGAAGACACTGCTGACTGACTGAACGCTAGTGGATTTGCTGGGCTATGTGCACACTTGTGCTTAAATCCCTCATGCACTCAATTAAAACTCCCTCTTTGTCTACATCCGAGCTCTGGGGAGATGTGATGGACTTTCACTGACAGGCAACAGTGCTGCCAGAAGGTGCAGCCTTTGAATGATCACAGAAACGGGGACCAAATATTGGCCAGCTCTGGCAGGCAGCCTGCAGGAAGTGCTTGGACTCGGCACCAACTATGAAGATTGCACTCCTTGGCAACACTGATCTTGGATCCAATCAGTTAACAAGTTGTCATTTATGCAGATATAAAAGAGATCAAGTGAGCTAGAGCTCATGAGAGCACTTTGAAAATGATAAAGTGTGACTTAAATCTGAGACTGTTCTAAACATGAGAATAAATGTGTAGAGGACATGTATCCCATTTCTAGGATGCCTAGGATTCCCCAAAAGCATGGGGAATTGTGTGGAAGCCTGGGAAGCACACATTCTGATACTCCTAATTATCATTTGCTCCCCAGTCCTCATTAGCAGATGCAGCAGACATGGTTAGAATCACCAGGGCCTGGCCAGCCCAGACTGACTGGGTTGTCCCCTACCCTGTCCTCTCTCCTCTGTGCTCCTGCTCACAGGACGACTTTGCATCCCCACCAAGTAGCTTCACTGTCATGGTGCTATATTATTTTTGTCATATGTTTTGAAACTGTCATTCTAAAATGCAACCAAAGATAATATGCAAACCAAGGACTTCCCTTCAAAATGAATAAAAATAATTCTAAGTAACAGAAACAGTCATTTTAATAATAAATAATATTCAAAAACAATTATTTAAAATAATAATTATTATTATTATCGTCTACTTCTAAAATTCTAGGAATGTTCTGATAAGAACTAAACTTGATTCCTTACCGTGCACGGGATCTCCCTGTCCAGCTCGCGGAACACAGACACCCAGTCGTCCTGCCTGGAAATGTCCCAGTTAGGGTAGTCCATGAAGGTGGCCTGGGCCATGAGCTCCTCCTTGTCATTGCAGAGGGTAACCGCAAGATTTGCCTTTTCTCTGTGACAACGGTTAAAACCACAGACACGGATAAGATGATGAAAAGGAGGTAAAAATATGCCATTTTCTTACTCCTTAGGCTATTAGGGTTTCGTCCCCCCTGGATGAGGTGGGATTAAACTTCCTGAGAGGGGAGGATGGTGTGGCAGCAACTTTCATGTCTCTGGTGCTACCCTTAAAATTTTATGTTTAAAATTGCATTTGGTGCTATGAATTAAATTTTTATTTTTAAAATTGCTTTTGCATTTTATTATAAAGATATTATATATCTTTACTTTAAAAAAAAGAAATGAACCCATTGCTATTGAATTGATTCTAAATCAAAGTGACGCTATACAGGGCTGCCAAGATTGTACCTCTCGATAAGAACAGAGCACCATCATTCTTTTAAAGAGCAGCTGGTGGGTTTGAACTACCACCTTGTGGTTAGCAGCCCAACACCTAACCCACAGAGCCACTGGGGATCCTTAAAGAAGGCAGGAGTGAAAATAAATAAGTAACTGTTAAACAAATAAAAAAGAAGGCAGGAGTAAACTATCCTTTAGTAGGGGGGAGTGAGAGATAAGAAAGCATATAACTGAAAGGGGAAGTAAGACATTGGGGAGAATAAGGAAAAAAATATAGACAGAACCCAGTTGCATTTCTGTCACCAAAGGAATACTAGGTTTTATTAGGAAAGCATTTTTAAATACTCACTGACAAGAAGACAAAATCACTTGAAAGATCACCCTTAGATCCGAACCAGGTCTCAGTCTGGTACGGGAAGCTGTCCATACTTTATGTACTGGACACCTGCACTGTGTTGGTCTGCTTGTTTTTTGTAGGCCGGAAAAAGAGCAAGCTTCCAGATGGATTAAAGCAAAAGAAAGTATCGCCGGTTGAACTACCTGAGCTCCCAAAAAGATTTTATGTAGAGACAATAGTCACATATAAAGAAGATTTTATTCCAGTTACTGAAAAAATCTACAACTATTTGAAATCATGGACTGGTGGCCCTGGTGCAGAATCATGACTGATGGCTGAATTCTGAAAACCTGAAGTGTGGTTCAGCATGCAAATGTGATTGATCCTTTGATTACAAGTTATGGTTGTAAGAAGTATATACATCTAAATTTGCTATAAAATGTAATCACTAATTATATGAAATAAATATTTCCTGAAGAAAAAAAATCAACCTTAATACCACCTTCAGAGACACTTACTACTAGTGTTTTGATATCTCTCTCCCCAGACTTTTCTTAGAGTAGCTGTACATTGAAATAAGGATCCCTGTTGGCACAGTGGATTACAAATTTAGCTGCTGACAGCCAGGTCAGCAATTCAAACTCACTAAGCTATTCAATGAGAAAATAAAATGAGGCCGTCTTATCCTGTAAATACATACAGTTTCAAGAACCCAAAGAGGCAGTCCTACTTTGTTCTATAGTGTTACTATGAGTCAGAACCACTGTGAGTCAACCACTGTGGATCATGAGACATATACAATATACTTTGGTTATTTTTTAAAATGAAATTGCACAATCCATATGATTTTTATCCTCCTTTTCCCCACTTAATGGCACATCATTTTATGAGAGTAGTTTAATAAACAGTGTCCTTCATTTAACTCCGGAAGTGGCTCCCCTCAGCTCTTAATCTTCCAGTTTCCAAGAGCTTCAAGTGTTGACTCATGACTCCAAACTGAGAGTCCGCACTTTAGTACCCAAGGAGGAAATGCCCCAGAGCAGGGCCAGCACATGTAATCAACACGGCAGTGGTTGGAGGAGCTATCGCATTAGTTGGGGGTGGGGTGGGGGGGATAGGAAGAGATGGAACCACTTCCGTCAAGAGTTAGGGGCAGGGCAGCAACTACCCTCTTACCCTCTCAAGAAAGTAAAAGTAAAATGTGTTCCTAGAATCAAGTCTTGAACTGGAAATATATTTGTGCATGGGAAACTTAAAAGAATGGTGGGCGGGTTCTGTTACACAATTTGCATAATACTACATCACACAGATATCACAGATTAAATAAGTATTTGTGGGTTGGCTTAAGAACTATGGCTCAATGGGGAAACGCATTGTAATTTGCAAATAGCTGACAGTCAAAATGAGATTTGTAGCATATCCTTTTGTGTGCACCATTTCCACATACTATCTCTTAACCACATGTCCAAAAGACAGCTAAAAACCACTATGAAAGAAAGGAGGGGAAAAGAAGAGGGTGAAAATAGAAGGTATATATTTTAAACAACTTTAAAAATTCATTGTAATACACTAAATTTAAACCAACGGAGCTCTATTTTAAAAATCTGTCATCAAGTAGCAGAAAGTAGAGCATTATAGTAATATCTCATTTACAGAATTGGCTTGGGGCATTTTCCACATACATGCAAACCTTATTTCACTATCCTTGATGAAATCTGGATGAAACCCAGCCCACATTATCTGCTTGGATAAAGAGTAAATGAAACAGAGCTCAGTTTCCTCTGCATGTTGGTCCTAATTTCCATCTCTGTCCTTTTTGCCCTGAGATCTCTGTCCTCAGTTCTCATGGTCCTTCCCCTGTAGTCGCCAATGCCTCATCTACTTTTCTCTCCCTCCTAAAAACTTAACAGGTGTTTTAGGTAAGATCAATTTTTTTATGCCTGAATCCTACTGACATGAGCAAGCAGCCAATAATAACTACTATAGATATGATAGAAACAAATCATCTTAATTTCCTAGTGCTACTATAACAAAAATATAAGAAGTAAATGGATTTTCTTTTCTTTTTACAAGTAGATGGCTTTAACAAGCAAACTTATTCTCTAAATTTGAGATTTAAGAGGCTAGAAGCCAAATTCAGGGCATCAGTTCTGGAGGAAGGCTTTCTCTCTCTGCTGGCTCTGGGTAATGGCCCATGTTTCCTGTCAACATGGACCTCCCATTCCTTGGAAATCTCCATGAGTCTTGGCATCTGCGTTCCCCCAGGTCTAGGAGGCTCTCTGAGCACATGGTAGATCTGGATGCAAAAAGCATCCTCTGCTCCTGGCTCTGCCTTCTTAGTAGGACTAAGGTCTCTCCATTTCTACGCACTTCTCTTTGAATCACAAGTAAGATAAGCGGTAATACAGGTCACGCCCCAGAAAATGTCCCCTTATATTGGAACCGGGCTGCAATCTGATTAAAGACATTGTTGTTGTTGTTGTTAGGTGCCCTCAGGTCGATTCCGACTCATAATGACCCTATGCTCAACAGAGTGGACACTACACAGTCTTTTGCAGTCCTCACAATGGTTACTGTGCCTGAGCCCATTGATGCAGCCACTGTGCCAATCCACCTCATTGAGGACCTTCCTCTTTTTCCCCACCCTTCCACTTGACCAAGCATGATGTCCTTCGCCAGAGACTGGTCTCTCTTGACAATAAGTCCAAAGTACATAAGACAAAGTCTTGCCATCCTTGCCTTTAGGAGCACTCTTGTGGCCTTACTTCTTCCAACCCAGATCAGTTGGTCCTTTTAGCAGCCCGTAAACTTTCAGT